GTCAGACCAGCCGCCCGAGCACCTTTTCCACACTCGCTCCCCTCGGACCTCGGGGCGAACTTGGCTCTCTTGGCTTCGCCGACGCTCAAGTTCCTCTCTAGGTTCTCGCCGCGTCGACGACCGACTCGCACGCTCCCGCGCCCTGCTCGAGGGACGACCCAGTCATTGCAACAAACTGCCCTCCTGCGCTCGCTCGCTCGCTCACGGGCACAGGCGCTCGACGGTCCACGGCTCGCCCTCGTCGGCGCCCTCGCGCCGCGTGTACCGGTACCGGTCATGGAGGCGACTCTCGCGCCCGGCCCAGAACTCGACCTCGAACGGGACGATGCGCACGCCGCCCCAGAACGGCGGGACCGGGATCTGCGGGTCCTTGTCGAGGTCCTTGCCCTCGTCACCGCCAGGACCGGGCCCGGGCGGACCAGCGTCGACGACGGCCGAGCCCGTCGCGGTGCCCTCGGGGACGCCAAAGCGCCGCTCGACGTCCCTCACGCGGCGCTCAAGCTCGTCGCGCGTGCCGGTCGGCAGGACGCCGCTCTGCTCGGACGCCCACGCGCCGATGCGGCTCCCGACCGGGCGCGAGTCAAAGTAGGCCTGGGTCGTCGCGCGGTCGAGCTTCTCGGCGCGGCCGACGACGCGCACGCTGAGGTGCAGCGCGCGCCAGTAAAAGGCGAGAGAGGCGTAGGCGCCCTCGGCGCTCTCGGGCGGGGTGTCGGCGTCGGCGTCGTAGTCCTGGTGGTTGGGGAACAGCTCGCGGCCCTTGCGCGAGGCATAGTTGGTGTAGAAGACAAAGCCGCGGTCGTCGACCTGCTTGAGGAGGACGACGCGGGTCGAGGGTACGGGTCGGTTCGGGTCGACGGTCGAGATGCTCATGGCCTCGGGCTCGGGGACCTTGTCGGGCTGGCTCTGTGCGAGCTTGAACCAGCGCGAGAACTGGGCGAGCGGGTCCCGGTCGAGCGAGGCGGCCGAGGGGATGCCCTGCGAGAGGTACGTCTCGTGGTTGTGGACGGCGGCGAGCGGTTGGGGCTTGGGCGTGCTGGTACTGGCCATGGTGCGGGTGGTGGTGGTGATGGTCGAGGGGCGCAGGTGGGAGGTGAGGCCGGTTGCGGTGCGCTGCTCGATGACGGAAGGACGGCGAAGGGGGGCGGTGAGCTGGTGGGGGCGGGGGGTTCGAGAAAGGGAGAGAGGGGACGGACCAGCATGCACGGGGACGAGGTGGAGCGGTTGGCGGTCGAAGCTCGAGAGCAGAGAGCCGACAGCGAGTGACAAGTCCAAGAGAGAGAGATCGAGGCGATGAGGACGACGACCTCCGAGGCTGTCGACGACCCTCGATCACCTGCTCGCACAGCCTGAGCGCCAACGGCACTGAGCTCACTAGCGAA